CCAATATTCTGATTGGCTTCAGAGTTTCAGGGACTGTGTAACCCATGTAGCCTCCTGTAACTGTGAGGTCTATTTAATAAAACGGTCATTAGTTTCAAGAAAGTGAAAATAACTAACAAAATTTCAGGGGGAGGTAATGACTAATTTATTCACACCACAAACATATTTAGAACCCAAATTAACTGGTGGTATGATCCGCATCCACTGTATGGGCACTTACCATGTTAAAAACATAAAAAGCTCATAGAAATAATGCCCGTTTTATTGCCCACCTCAGTCAGTGCTATTAAACTAGCCTTAAGAGTCTGAGGAAAACATAAGCACGTTAGAACAACATTCATTGGCCTGCTGCTTTCTTTAATATTCAGTCTCTATATACATCCACCTCAGGGCTATTCTCATACATGTCTGCATGCACGCATGCACACACACTTTATCACACTTACAGCCTCATCTACACTCTCACACATACTTACTCCCTACACAAGCACCCATGTCCACATTCCAATACACTCACACACCTAACATACTCTGTTACACATACTCCCTACACAAGCACCCACATCCACATTCCAATACACTCACACACCTAACACATACTCTCTCTCACACACACACTTATAAGCACTCACTCACATACCATAGAAAGCAAATTAAATCTTTGATCACACCGTCTCCACAAAGTTATTGTGGAAGAGAAGGAGGAAAAAAAAGGGTGGGTTTGTATTTGGCTACTTTTGTGTAGAGCACAACTTCTTTCACTAAAGAGATGTATTATTCATAGGATAAGCTCATCATGGAATACAAACCTAAACACCCTGAGGTTTTTATATATGGCAGTAATTAAGCAGTGAATTCAAGGAGGAAACCAGACTTTTCTTCTTAGCAATAAAAGCTTCATTTGGAGTGAACATTATACTAGCTACAGGAGAAATGCAGATTGCTTGAGCTGCAGTCATATCAGGTAGCCTAACATGTCACAGGTGAGCATGTAAAAGTGCAAAATGGCATTCTCCTGATTTATAGACATATTTATCATCTTTGACATTATAATATTTAATAAAAGAACTACACAGATTATAGCTGACTTTTTTCATCATTATTGCCGTTTGTTACTGCATTCCTAATGGAAAAGAGTTCAGTATCATCAGTGAAATATGCAAAAATATGCAGAATTTTACCCTGAAGGAGATTATGCTGGAAACTCAGGCAAAGGGGCTTAACATAATAGTGCACTAATAAGTCCGCTCTCTGCATTTGAAGATTTTAACTTGTGCTCTGTCACCATCCGTTGTATCTGGATTTCAAACCACAGCAGTGTATCTGCAGCTCTTAAATCTTAATTAGGCTGGCAAGCAGACCAGCCCATGAGTAAGAAGAAAAACTGAAAAATGGGCTCGTGCATCACACATTGTGTAATTCGGGGAGGAATGCAGAGGAAAATCATAGGCACTGATGCTGCTTTATCACTGTCGTAAGCCAGTTTCCATCAGTGTTTGCAGAACTCCAACACATTGTGTAAAATCTGTGAAAGTTTGGAAGCTGTTGGCATAATTAAGTGGGATTGTGGTAAAATACCTCCTAGGATGAAAGATGTCATCACAGTAAATACAAATATGAGCGGTCTTCTGAGAAGACCCAGTGAAATGCAGAGACCAGACTTCAGTTTGTAGTAGCTCTGTCTACACAGTCATGTAGGAGGCATTTTCTTGTGTCTCCAACAATGTATATCTATTTGAATAGAAAGACTGAATTTTTAGTTTTCTCCATATTCATTGTGGCCATATTAGGATTTAAAGTTTTTTTTAAATAATTTGGTACATTTAAATCCCTGAAAACAGGTTATACCTCAGTCCTGGGATCATCATAGAAGAGTTCCAATGGAACTGTTTCATTTGGTGAACAGGGCAAGAGGAAGCCAAAGAAGTACACAGAAAAAATAACTGCATTTCTTGGAAGAGAAGCATTTACTAGATTCAGCAATGTGAAATGCATAAACATATGGTTTATCTCGCTATACATTTTCTTCACTCTAAAAATAATACCTTGTGCAACCTTAAAGTGCCTTATTCAGGAGACTTGCTTACTTTCTATCAGTGAATGATTTTACAGAGTGAAATATCAAGAAGCATTTTAAGATTGCATTCACTTCATATGTTGTTCCTGAGATATATAAAAAAGATCATTTCTAAAAGTCTAGGTTTTCATGTAATAGACTTGGTTTCCTAGTAGAGTGAACTTCTCATGAAAGCTCTAGATACAATTGAGTTTTCTTTCATGTCTTTAAAGCTCTTTAAAATTCATGAATTTTCTTATCATTTTTGCAGGAAAGCAAAAGTATTTCCAAATCCTTTTTGAATTTTGTATTTAATATTAACATATTTGAAATGTTACAGAAATAGATGGAGTGGAATAAATCTTACAATAAGGAAGTAGTTGATTTTTGATGCATTTTAACGTTACCAATAGGTCAGTTATTCCTATTAAATTGGTTCCATTACCTGTCACCGAGCTGTCTAGATTGTCCATACTGGATCCAGGAGTCTGGTCCAGCGCTCTCAGGGGCCTGGGGATTTCTAAAGCTTCCTCTTCGTCGTCAGCATCATCATCTGGAACATCTGTTTCCAAATCAGAAATCAAGGCTCCGGACACATAACCTAATGGTGGAACCGGAGGCTGTGGAGGTTGATTATTGCTTTGAATGTGCCTAGAATTCAAATGAAATTTACAAAAGAAAAGCAACTCATTAACATGCAACAAAATCATAATTTTAATGAAATGCATTCTATAGTGACTCATATTGTCTTCTTCCTTTCCATTAACTAATTTTGGAGCTCGTAATGCTTTCAGCAGAGACAGTGACTATGAATATAAGCTTCACCAAACAAGGAAAACATAGACCACTAAACTCTTCTCTTGGGCTAATACATGGAGGAAAAAAGTACGGACCCAGGATTTTTGTGAAAAGAAGTCATCTAGAGGGGACTAGGAATATTCGCCACGAGTAACTATTTAAAGTGGACATTTTTCTCCAAAAATACTATACCTTTGTTCCCAGTGTAGTGTCAAAATTCTACTCAGTCTGTGTAACCCATGCTGCCTGCTGGCCCTTATGAAGAAAAGATGTCACATGAGGACCTAATATTCCCTACCTCCCAACCCTGAACATATTCCCCACCCTAGAAGGCTTCCTCCCCCCACGATCCCTCTCACATCAAGGCTGGAAGGTGATTTCCACATTCACTGTAACCCAGTCTAGGGCGGGCACAACTGATTTCTGCTCTAGTAGCTATTTACGCATCTGTCTCACTCACCAAAGTCTTAAACTCCTCAAAGGCATAAACGATTCATCTAAGCATTCTCTGTGTTTAGAACACTAGTGTATTACATAAACCTTCTGCAATGAATAAATAATTCTAATCTCAGCCTTATGAAATAAATAGATCATGCATTATCAACTCTTATTTATTTCTTCATTCATTCATTCATTATTTATTTTGAGAGACAGAGTCTTGTTCTGCCACCCAGGCTGGAGATGCAATCATGGCTCACTACATCCCTGACTTCCCAGGCTTAAGTGATCCTCCTGCCTCAGTCTCCCAAGTAGCTGGCATTACAGGTGCGCTTCACCACGCCCAACTAGTTTTTAAATGTTTTGTAGAGTGGGACTATATTGTCTAGGCTGGTCTGAAACTCCTGGGCTTAAGCAAGCATCCTGCCTCAGCCTCCCAAAGTGCTGGGATTACAGGCACGAGCTATCATGCTTGGCCCAACCTTCTTCAGAATTTATTAAAGTGAAGGTCAAATTTAAGTGACTTGTTTCAAACCAGGTAGCTAACAAAATGTGAAGCTGGGCAGTAAGGTCCAGTTGATTTGTTTTGAGTCTACTCAGATTTTCTTCAAAACCATAAAATGCTAAATGAAATCAATTCATTGTTATTTGTTACCAGCATTAAAAAGTGAATGTACTACATGTTTTAACATAGTATTTTCTTTGCCTTCATAAAAAAGGTAAGGTATTTAATATCTCCTATTCAAGGGAGATATTAAAAAGTACTATGCATTTTTAGTGTTGGCTCGTGAATGAAAGACATTAGACTATTTTTCTCTGTCATTTGCATGCTTTGGGGAAAGTATTTTAATCTTCCCGAATTTGTTTAATATTCCTCTCCCAAATGGCTTCTTGAACTTGTAACCAACCTCAATGTTAACAGGATTCTTGATATTTCAATGTTAAAACAATTTCTAGTTCTGGAAGTTACCTCAATATCATCAGACCCCAATCTTCATTCTTTAATAGATTAGGAAGTTGAGGCCCCAAGTTAGTATTTGGCATTCATCACAGCCTGCTAGTTGAAAAATCAGAAGAAATAGCAAGTTTCCTAAGTATTACTACAGAAAAGCTTGAGGCTAGATGAGCACATCTTGCTATAAATGTTGCCTCCAATCTGCTTATGAACTGGCAAGGGAGGCAGCCAAGAGATGAGCCACAGGCTATAGGGCAATGTGATTCATTCTCCTATAAGGATGTGGACTTTGGTCCTGGAAAGCATGGATCAGACCAGCACTCTGGTCCCTACATCACTGTTGACACCTCTTGATAAAACAAATATACCTTGATGGATGAAAAATGTACTCCTATTTGAGCAAAATTAAGAGGTAAAATGAAATACAGGAAGAGGATACATAACCCATTTATAAGTATCTTCCAGTGACAGGCACTGTGCTGTTTACTTCATCATTAATAGAAACAGATCCTGCGAGGTGGAGCCTGGGAATTATTATTTGTTCAACGGTCCTCCTATGATGTCGACGTGCAACCCGGATGGAGAGTCACTTCCAAACCAGAAGCACATGCAGGCTCATAACTCCCATAGGTAGAGTCAGCCAAGACGTTCTGAAAGATTGCTGGTTGAGTAGGAACACACTCAGAAAAAGAAACAGGGTGTCCTCTATGGGTGTTTGGAGCAGGTGGAGATGAACTAATTTGTTCATTCTTTTAGCAAATATCTATCAAGCACTTACTAAGTGGTACACTCTTCTAAGTGTGGGAAGACAGCAGTGAAGAACTCAGGGGTGAAAACCCAGGCCTTTCTAAATAACAACAGCTAATACACAGCCAGGTACAGTAGTATATAAGTTCATACTCATTTCATTCTCACAAAAATTAGGATATGTAACAGAAGAATTGAAGCTCGACCCAAGAGAGATTAGGCCTTTGCCCTCTACTCCCGGGAGGTAATCTCTAAGCCCTTAGAATGTCCTGCTTGATGAAAGTCTCTCTGTTTACCTAGAGACCTTAGGCTGCTCCAGAAAGCACAGCAATATGATTTATGGTGGGGCTTGGAGTTGCACGGTATCACCTCAGCCTCTGGAGGGGCTGGAAATTGAGGTCAGCCATGTGGGTAGTCAACAATGTCTGTGTGACAGAGCCAAAGTGAAGTCGCAGGACCTCAGGGAAGGTGTGCCCATCCCTGGTTGGCAATTCTCCCTGGTGTTTAATGTCACGCTTTTTGTTGGGAAAGTAACGCTGTCTATGATCCCACTGAGAGAGGACAACTGGAAGCTCTGCTTTGGGAATTTTCCTGGACTATGTCCCATGCATTTCTTCTTTTGGCTGATTTTAATGCATATCTTTTCACGGTAATAAACTGTAGCTTTGGGTGTAAAATCTTTTGGTGAGTTCCATGACTTACTATAGGGAATTCTCAAACTTCAGGGTGGTCTTAGGGACCCCTGAAACTTATACTTGCTATCAGAAATATAGGTGGTCTTGGGGGCTGCCCCCTAATTTCCTATATGAGCTAATTACTATTATCACCATCATTTTACACGTGGGGAAACTATAGCATGTAAATGTTTAGTAAGTTGCCCAAAGTCATGCAGCCAGTAAGACAGGTTCATCTCCACAGCAGTAGTCCCGACTTTGGCTGTCGCAGTCAAATTCCAGATCATGGCGGTCAGAATGTTTCTCTGGGAGTGGAGCCCAGGTACCAATATGTTTTAAGGTTATCCAAATGGTTCTAAAATGTAGGCAAATCTGAGAGCCCTTCAGCTTGAGTCTGTGCTTTAGACGACCAAACGGCATTGCTTCATTAATTAACATGAAGGAATTCTATGGCTCTTGAAGCAGCTGACTTCAACTTACATAGTGATGTTTTATAAAAAGCAGATTGATGAAAAATAATAGCGTTTAACGGCAAGTTGTCTTTGACCTTTGAGAAAGCATCTGACAATTGTTGGAAAATGTTCAAGATTGTCTTATCTTAAGAAAAGAGGCTATTTGTAATGATCTTTAAGTAATACTCCTGCTTTTGGTATCTCTACGTACAGTTAGCTGTATTTTAAAAATAAATACTTCATTAATAATGAGCATAAGAATTATTTATCCCCAAGGCTAGAACTATTTTAAAAAACAAAACAAATACTATTTAAAAAATTTACTCAGACTTCAAGCACAAAGTGTAAATCAACAGAAGAAAATTGGAGTATGACATGGAGATTTAAAATAGTGATGTAACAGTCTTGCCTTTGAGAATTAAAATAGAAAGATTGAATAACAACAACAAAAAAAACCTGTATAAAAGTGTGAGAGTGAGTCTCATTTATATATCTGTGTTAATTCCTCAGGATACCTAGGTAAATTGCCACCTATAGTTTATAGAAGTTTATAGATTGATTAGAAAAAGAAATGTGAAATATTTGATTACTCCTGCTTTTCATGCATTTACTGACACTAATATTGTTGTTTTTTTCTGTTGCATTTAACCCAGGTAAAGAGAGTCTTTTAATAACTAATACTGACCATATGTGATTTGCAGAAGTTCACATTTACATATTGACAACCACATACAGAATTAATCACAGGCACTTTGAGGAATCTGAAATGAGTCTTTTATTACATCATGGGATGTGAGTTCAAGGATATGCTAACTGAAGATAAACCACAAATTAGAGAAGATTCTGGTGTAGCCAAGAGCACTTTAGCCTGAAATACAGCAGATTTGAATTCTTGCTCTAGTTCTAATTTTAGTTCTAGTTCTAGTTCCAGCTTCAGTTCCAGTTCCAGTTTCAGTTCTAGTTCTAGTTTTGGCCAAATTATTTAACACTTCTGCAGTGAATATATTTATCTAAATGATTAAGGAGTTATACAAAATCACTTTTACACTTAGCTGTGTAGTTCTATCAGAATCTCTTGTGAATTTATTTAAAAAAGCCCATGTGTTGAAAGTATGGGTCTCTTGACTTAATGAAGATATTTACCATGTTTGTTTTGCTATATCAAACTGATAGGCTCTTGTCAACTCATCCAGGTGAGCCTGCAGCATGGGTTGCATCTCTTCCCGTGGGGATGGAGTAAGAGTTGCAGTGGACTGCTGTCCAAAGGAGATAGCAGGAGAAGAAGCCACGCCTCGGACAGGAGGTGTTGGGACCCTATCATCATCTTCTTCCAGTTCATCTTCCAGACCTTGATGTAAGTAAGTTTGTACTGGCAATGGTGGGCACCAGCTATCACTGTCATAGCTGAAATTAAATGAGAAAAATATGCACATTGACACAAATACACATACACATACATGCACGCAATTATACTGGCAGTAAGTAGCAACCACATGGTATCTGAAATGCTCTCGCGGTTTATGTCTTCCTGAAGCTGTTGGTGTTACCACAGTAAATCACCTGGCTGTTATCTTAACTTCTAATTGTAATTACATCTGTTATCTCAATATCTTAATTTATTCTTAAAAGACCTTATTAGCTAATTGTTACCCCACAGTTACAAGAGGCAATAACTTCCCAACAAACTTACTCATGTGAAAAAACCAAATTGCTAATTAAAGACAATTAATGAATTTAGTGCTCGTAGATTTAACTACTTCCTTCGCCTGTTCATACTTGTGTACCAACATTACATGCCAATATAGCTGATTGATTATCTAAGAAGTATTGGAGAATTTTCCTTATTCTTATTCTAGATATCTGACAACCTTTCATTCCATATGTCATTAAGACTATGATATAAATGCATTCAGTATCTCTTTGATTCTCCTAATTTTCTCAGTAAAAACCAGTGTTCTTTATCTTGTCATCCAAATGCAAAACATAAAATGGGAGTTCAAAACCTTGCCCTATAAAATAAAAATGATACTTCTATTGTAGTAAAAAAAGTTTAGCATGCGATCTATCCTTTTAAAAAATTTTGAGTGTAAAATATAACAATTATTTAAAATTTTTTTAGGGACTGTGGTCTGCGAATATAGAAAATTAATCCAAAAAATTTTAACCATGAGACAAAATCAATAGCATTTTTATTTCAATTCTCTGTAGTCCGAATACTTTCAGAAATCAAATAGATTATAACATCCTTTTAAACACAGACAAGGAAAAGATAAATAATATTATTCGATATAATGGTCTTATAAATTCAACCTCTTAAATATCTAGTGAATCTTTCTCCTACACTTCATCCCCACTCCCACAATCACACATCAGTTTCCTGCTGTAAACTAGCTCATTAACTTTCTCCTACTCTTCTGGTATCAACTTCTCTTCCACCCTTTCTCACCCACATGCAACAGAATTATGTCTCTAAAATCTTCATTCACATCATGCTTAAACCTAAAATTATTCAGTGATTATAACTAGCATTATTTTAAAAAAAAAAGACCTCTCCAACTCATTAGGTGGGTCTAAAAAACCCATCCTCATCTGATAAACCCATCTTTCTAGCTTAATCTCACACTATTTCCTCAACATCCATATACTCTATTTTTTTCCAAAGTCTGCCTCTGTTTATGACTGCTCTTAATCACTTGCTTGTAAGTGCCTACTCCTCCTTCAACCAGAGTCACTTCAAATGTCATCAGTTTTGTGAAGTCTTCTCTTCCCCACTCCAAATGGAATTAATCACAATTCCATAATGCTTATATTGTGGTACTCCCCATATTATATTGAGATTATTTGTTTCCGTGTCTCTTTTCTCCCACTATTTTGTGAGATTCTTAAATTCAAGAAAGCTGTAATTTTCAGCTACTTCTTGTACCTAGTACAGTTTCTTGTACATGGGAGCTATTCATTAGGGAAACTGTGGTATTAGTAAATATCAGAAATCTACATCTGTAGTCTTGATCCTTCTTACAAACAGTAACTCATAAATGTCCGGATGATTCTTGAATATTTCACTTGAAAGCCTTTTCATTTATTCTGTTTAAAAGCTGAATTTATCATAAAATTTGAACTTGTATATTTATATTGGTGTTATTCATAATTGCCAAAATGTGGAAGCAA